TGTAGAATATTTACATTCTACCCTAGTGTTATAGCTTCTTCGGTCTTCAGGAAAGCCTCAGGGCGCTACAATTATAGCCACTCGTCATGCTAAATTTAGTAATGTTGTACTTCCAATTGATTGGGCTTGTTGACGCATTCTATTAAGGCTCCGCGTTTAAATCCGTATAGGACAACCACCCCACCAGAAGTGAACGCCTTAAAAATAGGTTTAGTTTTTGTAAAAGTCTTTCAGCGCATAATTTCTAAAAAGGCATTGCAACTTACGAATGACAATAAGAATCCTTTTTAGGCTTCCGAGTACCGCGAATATCCTTTTTGTTTTGCCAAATGAAATTCCGTTCATCTCTTGGCTTCGTTGATATACTATTAACAATAAAATCGCTTGGAAAAGCTAGCAAATTTCACTAGTTAATTCAGCGGAAGGGGATGCAATTACCCATCGTTGATTTGTTTGTTGGCATAGGAGAATAAGTGGTGTTTTTTTGTACCTTCGCATCACGATTTCCAACGCAATTGAAATGCTCATCGTCTATTTGGGAAGCCTTTTAAGGTCACACAAAAAGTAACTCGAGGTCTTACCCATCCCGTTCCCATATGGTCAGATTCCTTGCTAAAGGCATCACAGGTCCATGACAAAGATGTTTGCTCTGCATTCAGAGCCTGTAGATTAAACCCACATGTTTCAACTTCGGCTTCTTTTTCATCTACTGCCACAGTATCTTCAACGTCTTTCTTAACAGCTATAGGCGGAGCATCATCCGATACAGAAGACGTTGTGCTAACTGACTCCGATGGTATGTTTAACCTCGGAATGGGAATAAGACTTGGCTGTAGGGTTAATTGGTGATATTTTTTATCACTCACATTCGCACTCATTGGCCGAGTCAAACTTCTTTCATTGAACTGGCTATAATTGTCTTTGAAAGTCCTCCTAGAACTTAGAAGAATCAAATTTAAACTTGAATGTATTGAAATTTGATATGTTTATGATTCTGTTTAACCATTTATTTCAACCTAAAGCCTTTCCACTGGAATTACATAAACAACTACCGTAAGTTAATATATATAATTTCACGTTAACTACTAGTTAAGGCTTGATTCATATTAGTTAATTTGGAATAAAGTATCTAATTAAAGTCATACCATTTAGCTGAAACGGATATCCCCATTGATGCGTTGTTCGGTAACTCAAACTATTTCCAAAAGAACATACCTAAGCGGTCATGAAAACACATTGGTGAATGAAAACAAACCACAATGGCTTGCCAAGAATGTGCCAAGAATTACGGTGATTGTGCTTGTGTCCACTTGGTGACACTGGGAAACATGTGAATGCTATCTCACACATTCCTTTGCTCGAAAGAGCCAATAGAAACGCGCATTTAAATGTTGTCCTGTGTGAAGACAAATAATGAACGATCCTAACAACGCCTAACAACGTTCATACTCCTCATCAACGAATTAAAATGTGTTCCCAACTCAGTTCCACTGTAAAGCCGGGTTCGGACCTTAGTTTGGTCAGCAAATCTCATTGAAGCAATTTTAGCCCTATCTGTAACTCACTAGGCCTTTTGAACAAAAAAGGAATGGGACTTGAGTACCTTGTCGAAATCCGACTGTTTCTACCACTTTAGGGAACTTGCGGCTAGACTTCGTACCAGAGCCAGTACCTTCGCGAACTCAAACAAGCCGAGCTAGTGAGTCTAACTGCCACCGAAGCGCCTTAACCCAAAGGCACCTACCATACGATATCAGTAAGCACCTTAAAGCGCCTTCAGTAGCCCCACTGACCAATCCAAACAATGACCCAACAACCATGTCATTAGGCCACAAAATACTCGTTCACAATGGCTTCTCTGAACTCAATACTCAGTTAGACTCATGTAAATGAGCGAAAGTGCCCGGCCAGAGGGCAGTCGGTAATGAAAATCGAGAACGAAAATAACCCATGGGAGGAAGGTGGATTCAGTGAAGCAGAAACCAACTACATGTCCCTTAAGAATTGGTTAGAACGAGATCCAACTTGTACTTTACCCTGCATTCGAGTTCCTAAAAACCTACAAGCTCGAAAACTGTAATTAAAATGACCAAACAGCCGACTTAGGTGGGCGTAGTTACATCGCTACCGCCGCAAATACCCGGTAAGGTTTGAAATAAAGTAGGACATAGTAATAACTCGTACCCTGTCAAGGAACTATGCACAATCCTGTTTATTTGAGGCCCCAATACAGGTAAAACTGTTCTAAATGTGAAGTACGTAGAGCAAAGAAGTAATAATAAATATCTGCTTATCTATTTTATCGAGTGATTTTAGGCTGTACATACAGGAGTTTAAAAGAAAAGGAACATCATAGCTTTGAGATAATCTCCTCCGGACTACTTCCAGCTTTATGAAGTTGTCGAACCTGGTCTGAATAACGTATTTCAAAAAGGGATTCTGTAGTAAGCGGGGGTTCATTGATGACCGCAGCCTGCCATGAAACATAAGGCTTCAACTCACATCTATCCAGATTCTCTGGAACGACAAACTCCACACGCATTTCTGGCATCTCCTGAACCTCACCATTGACAACACATGATGTTGGGGGTTCCCTGAAAATAGTGACTGTGATTCTACAGGACAAACCTTGGAATCCAAGGATACCTAGCCCTTCGACGACTTTTGCAAACGTCGAGCAGCCATTTATATCGTTGAACGTATGCAATTTTTTGTCTGGATAAAACCGAGGA